TGCTGCCGTGTGAAGGAAGAACGCCGTATGAGCATTCAAGAGTTGCCAAAGTTCTCCGGATAAAACCAGTATTTTGGAGGGAAATTATGCATATTTTTTCTTTAAATTTTTAGATATTTTAGTTTAATTGCAAACAATATCGTCTAAGAATTTCGAAGAGAAATATTCACGATTTTTTCAGTAAATTCTTTTTTTCTTGAAGGAAATATGGCAACGTCTGAAGGCTCATAAGGCGTTTTTCCTTAGCACGACAGTATGGCAGGGAAGGGGGGGAGCAGAATAACCACACTACCATTCGGAGGGGTTAATTTTGTATCATTCAACGCCGAAAACAGACAGATATATAGACTGCGCCCTGGGCAGAATTTTACACCTTCGGAACAAAAAAACTTGGGGTTTTGATTAAGCCTCTGTTGAATTTTGCTGGAGCAGTTGTCAGTCTTTGACTGACCATGATGAACTGCAAACATTTATACATCATATAATTCATATATAATACAAGTGTAACTTGAAACTTTGACTCAGGTCATTGAAAATATTAAAAATTGTCTAGCATCGAAATCTAAATATAGATCCTAACCCCAAACCGGTTCTTTTGATTTTTCTGATTTCATCGCACATCGTTGCTCCTCGGGCGTAAGGCCGTATCTGTAATTCGACATGAGCCCCGGAAAGTAAAGAACTATACGGAGAACAGGGTTCAAGTGGAAATCGAGATACGCCCTTACGTCAGAGGAGCGATGAAATGTACATTAAGAATGAACATTCAAAAGAATGTAGGTTCTCCTACACGTGTTTACCAAGATTGCGTATATTCTCTCATGATGAAAAGTTTTATAAATAGCTTCGATTCATATCGACAATTTTTCTTTCGAACTTTAAGCCTTCGTTTTTGGAGGAATATTGCTGAACGTAAGCAGACAAATTTCCAATATCCCATGGATTCAGAGCGACACTTGCTTCAGTTTTGGAATCACGCAATTTTGCTCAGGATGTTTTGTTTGTGGGAAATGCATGAAGAGAAAAGCAGCGTCACGAGCTGAATTTGAAGTGCCTTTAAATACACAGAGCAAATTAATTTGAAAAATAATACCACAATTTTCGGAAGAAGTCTATACATTTGTGACCTTGCATAGACTAATGTATGAAAGATAGGATGAATTATTATCACTCAGTCCTTGATATTTCTCCTATGTGCCCTTCATTAAATTTTCTTTATTTTCCCGGGTTAGCGAAAAATCACTCTAAACAAAGAGGCAGAGAACAGAGGATAAAAGAGTGTGATTTTTATGATATGAAATTGATTCCATAGTTTAGAATTGGAAAATGAAGACAGCAAATGAATTTCTTGATTTATTTGTATTTTTGAAACACACTAAAAATATCGCATATACTCGTAGTTATAAAAATGATGTGACAAATTGTACTCATATCCAGCATACCATCCTTAACAATTTTCATGAAACGAAACTTTTTTCGTTAAAAACATTTTTTGGTTCATCCCTCATGAAAAAATTGGTGAACGGCAAGTGCCATGACACGATCTGAAGTGTTTTGAAACAAAATTGATAATGGTTTTAACTTTGAATTAAATTATTTTCAACGTGTTTACAAGCCTCAGCGTATTTTTCGAACATCAATTTCTCGAAACTGACAGTATACTTTCAGAGTGCATCGTAGCGACGTAGCGCGCGCCACCCCAAATCAAAGTTCGAAACGCGAAGTCCCAGTGCAAACAGTTTTTGCGAGCGAAAGTTCACAACTCCTATGATAAATAGGCTTCCGCTCATCATAATGTCACCCACGAAGAAGGCATGCGACTTATTTTCTCACAACGTTGCCTCATCATCGATATTCCATCGAAACTTCTCAGGAATCCCTAGATTTCAGCCCAGAAACTGGCACCGAACCCGTTCATTATTCATGGCGTCGGTATTTTTAATCCCTTCATTATTTTGAGCGTTGCCGCCTCGTGAAAAATTTGCACCGAAGTCAATTTGTATGACGCAATACCTACATTGTATAGTTTTACCGCTGGAAAAAACATAAGTGCATTGCAACGTAGAGGAATTGTCGCTTTTCATTTGTATTCTTGTACTTAAAAAGATATTAGGCGTTGCTAACCGAAACTTTCAGTTATTTTAATCTGAATACACGCAAAAATCAGACACGTTTTGTACAAAATTCGTAGAATAACATGTTTGTAAAAAATTAAATTTTTGAAGTCAAATTTGCAACTTTTGAATGTAATTAGTTGTGTTCCTTATACTGCAAAAGAGCTTGATGCAAAAACGGCTTTTTTCGCCCCCCCTCTGGAAGTTCTTCAGACTTTGTCTGTTGATTACACATACTTGAGCGCTTCTTTTCCCAAATTTTCAGACTCCCAAAAAATTTTAGGGGGGAGCTAGGGGGGGTGAAAGTCAAAACCTGTGAACCTCGATATCTCTTGAACAAAGAAAGATATCGAGGTCCGGTTTGAACGAAAAATCGTGTAAAATTGCATACTTTAAGACTCTAAAGGTCGAAATCCCGATATCACATTTTTAAGTCAACATATGTGCTTTTTTCCAGTTTTTAGGTCTAGAAAATTTCTTTTAAACGAAAAATTTACAAAGATCTCAATTTTTTATTTGAACCAAAACCAGTTTTTTAAATTGTTCGTCTTTTTCCGCATCCAACGAGTGGTCCATTAAGCTGGGGAACCAAACGGTTCCGGAGTTATGATCGATTGAAGTTTCCGCTCAACGCGCGCCGACCGATTTTCGCGCGCAAAAAAGTCGGATTTGACTGTTATTAGATCAGATTGAATGTTCAAACTGAGCAAAATGCTTTATTAGGGACTCTTGAGGGTCGCTGAGTTCAGAAATTACAGATACTTCCAAAAAATTCACGTTTTTAAAATTACAGCTTCGGACAGGACCACTGAGCGACCGGTCGGCGCTCAGTGGGCCTCTAAAATAGCGCTGCGGAGCTGTAATTTTAAAAACGTATATTATTTGGAAGTATCTGTAATTTCTGAACTCAGCGACCCTCAAGAGTCCCTAATAAAGCATTTTGCTCAGTTTGAACATTCAATCTGATCTAATAACAGTCAAATCCGACTTTTTTGCGCGCGAAAATCGGTCGGCGCGCGTTGAGCGGAAACTTCAATCGATCATAACTCCGGAACCGTTTGGTTCCCCAGCTTAATGGACCACTCGTTGGATGTGGAAAAAGACGAACAATTTAAAAAACTGGTTTTGATTCAAATAAAAAATTGAAATCTTTGTAAATTTTTCGTTTAAAAGAAATTTTCTAGACCTAAAAACTGGAAAAAAGCACATATGTTGACTTAAAAATGTGATATCGGGATTTCGACCTTTAGAATCTTAAAGTATGCAATTTTACACGATTTTTCGTTCAAACCGGACCTCGATATCTTTCTTTGTTCAAGAGATATCGAGGTTCACAGGTTTTGACTTCCACCCCCCCTAGCTCCGCCCCAAAATTTTTTGGGAGTCTGAAAATTTGGGAAAACAAGCGCTCAAGTATGAGTAATCAATAGACAAAGTCTGAAGAACTTCCAGAGGGGGGGCGAAAAAAGCCGTTTTTGCATCAAGCTCTTTGGAAAGGTGATCAGCGGCTGTTCTTGTATTTTAGCGCGCACGCAAGCCTTCGCCACCTATTGTACATGCAGCGATGATATTCATCGAGCTTAAACGTTGTTATTACGCAGAAAGTCGCGCGCCTTCAATTCTTAGCATATGCAACGCGGTCAACCGTCGTGTAGTTTTAGTTGTATTCAGATGCCGTTGACTTGTGCATCTCTAAACTATTACGATGATGACCGTATTTACGAAATAATCTTATTCTAATTTCGTAAGAGTAAACCTAACTCATAAAGACTTGAAACATTTGGGAGGAAAATTCTTTGCCGGAGTCTGTATATGTATTGCCCAAAAACCCCTAAGGATGTGAATGCGGAACGGATTCTATACTCTTTTTGTGGAGTGTCATATACGTTTTTATAGTGCTAATTTCACTTCGCATTCATATCACTTGGGGTTCTTGGACTCTGTATGGGCTCTCGTACCGCATTGCAATCCTAGATTTTGAAGAGTGCCCATTGACGTTTATTCGGGGTATATGATTTTTGTGACAAGCTAGTCATCACTAAATTAAGTCTTTTAATGGAGTGACAGAGAGCACAGTGTGTGTTCTGATGCATTTTACCTTACTCCTAGTTTATTTAAAAATAACTGCACTGATTATAACAATATCTATTCATTTTTATTCAAATGTTTGATACTGAAAAACCGAAGAAAAAAGAAGATATATTTCTTTTTGCCAATACGCCAAACCAGTCATATTTGTTTAATAGTTAAATTTGATAATTCACATAAAATTTTGTCCAAAGGGTTGAACTCATTTTCAATGCAAGTTACAGTATGTTGACTTGAATAGTCTTTATGAGACGAACCCACTTTTTCAGCTTTTTCTAGATGCCACTCGTCTGCTTTTTTTAGTACGTGCAGGCGGATATATAAATGTGTTCACGCCCTTTATTGGGATTTAAATACTAATAACCTTCATTTTTTTCATCATGAAATGAGATCGGTAAAAATTAACAAATTTTTAGCACGAAAAGGCAACAGTGGTTATGCGTGCCGGCACGCGGTAGGCAACTTGACGACTCAGTCACGTAACTGCACTCAGCAATAAACCGACTGACAACAACAAGAAGAAGCCACGGCACCATTTCAATAATTCAGCCATTAAGAGCGTTATTAATGCCTCCGCAACTCTTGCTTCTATTTAAGTTATTGCGTTTCTCATGATTGCAGTGTACTTTGCTCCTTCGCTAATAAACACAACTGCTTTCAGGTGGTTACGACTTATCGATTTGCAGGCCCCCTCCCTCCCCCCGACTCCTTGAGGAGAAATTGCTATCGTTGCATGTGCAGCTTACAATATTCTTCTTCTACAATTCCACTAAGCCTTCGACTAAAGAACACATAGTATTTATACAGTTAAAGATCTCGATCGATATATATTAGATAACGAAAAGTATTTTAAATTTCCTCCACACCATACGGACAGCGAAATGATGAAACTGCATTGAATGCTTAAGGATGCAGTATTTTGCTCTATCGGGACGCTATGTTCATTCAATTCACTTTTTTTCCTTATAGGAACGGTTTTTGAAAGACACTCACAAACACAGCCGGGTGTATTTTCGGTACGTTCATTATTTAGTTTCGAGTACCAACGTGTGACTTGACTTGTCTCTGACGAAGAGTACGAGCTGAAACACGACTACAGCCGATTGGTTAATGACACCTCATCAGCGTTCCGTAGAGGTTCGATCCCTCTCTCCTAGATCTGTGAGTGCACCATCTCACATCTGCAAGGGTCCTCAGTTATTCTTTGATTATCTTTTTCTTGAAGGAGTCCATTCGTTGAGAGATTTGTGGAGAAAATACTTAGATTATGTAGACATATATTAAGTTAAGCCAATTGCGATCACAAAAATTTACGTGAAATTAAAATAGATTTTGTCTTTTTTTAAAAATAGAACAGAGTTGTATGCTGGAGTGAATACGCATATTTGCCAGAGAAATCTCTCTGCTGCCGGTTTTAGTCATGGACCAGCCAACACGCTCTGAGCATAGGCCCTCAGCTCTGAAGAAAATATTGAGACCAACCAGGTTTCATTGCCTGAAATTAGAGAACAATTTAGTGTCACTAAAATGTAAACTTAACTTATATTGCATGTTTGATAAGGTACATTTTTGCTTATTGGTCACGATCAATGGCGATCTCAAATCAGGAAATTTTTATTGAAATTATAAAAAAAAATCGGCGTACCTAAATTCGTGAGGAAATGTACAAGACATAAATTAAATAAAAATTAATAACATTTCTTTTTGTCCTCGTTTATTGAAGGGCTCCTTTGTAGCAAAGAAGGAGTTGTTCGCATGTTAGTGTTTGCCGTATTCGGTTCTTTATCTTCCATCAAATCAAGCCCTTTAAAATATCGTTTGACTGGTGAAATAGGAGATTTGAAGTGTCAAAATAGTTCCATGTATAGTGCGGAGAAAATGATAAAATTGTAGTTTTATTATTTTTGACACGTCTATTTTTGTTTTTTTTAAAAAATCCTCGATCAAATATAATTTGTCATCGTAACTTTTCGGAAAATTAGCCCCAAGTTGCTGTAATGTTTCCTAAGTTTGTGGAAAAGCAGAGAGTATAACGCATGAAGTGCTTTTAACTTGGAGAAAGGGAAACATCATCTCTAGAATGATACCTTCGAAGGTAGATTTACAAAAAATTACACATACCCTTAATTGGACTACATTTTGCAAACAGGAACTATAAATTCCGACCCGGTTTAAAAACAGCGTATGTGCCATTAGTTCCCTATGCACATAAGTGTTTTTTCAGATGAGCCAGAATTTATTGCTCCAAATTGCAAAATGCAGTACAATTGTATTATAAGTATTTGGCAGTGGCGTGGCGTCAATTGCGATGTATCGATTGATCTGTCATTCCAATCCATGGAAAAGGATCGATAAACAGGGTGTTCGCAACGAACACCGTAATAATCGAGTCTTGGCCATAGCCTCAAATGGGGAAATATCGATAATCGATTATCCATGCCTCGCCACTGGTATTTGGATTACTTACCCTGGTCCTCTTCTTTCGCTCAAGCTTGGTCGTCCTGCCGGATTACTTCCTTGGTTGGGAGAAAACCCTCCTCGTCCGGATGAAAATCCCCCTCGCCCGGATGAAAACTGCTCCCGTCCAGACGAGAATCCCCCGCGTCCAGATGAGAACCCTTCTCGTCCGGTTGAAAATCCCCCTCTTCTGGACGCGAAGCCGCCTCGATCCCTTCCACCGTAAGAACCTGGATAGTTTCGATTTCCTCCAAATGAGCGGCCTTTCATACTAGTAAATAAAAGAGAAAAAATTAGAATGGGGAATGGTGTCTGTCATATTCAGAACCTATAGCAGATTAGAAACTAGTTATTTTTGAGTCCCTGCGTCTTTTGAATTTTACTAGAATGCTGACGCTGTCCCGAAACTTTATTTTATCTTAGAAAAAAAAGAGGAACGAAATGGAATGGGTAAAACATTTCGGTATATGAATCGCGTATTACAGAAAGGGCACTATTGCAGAAATGTTAATTGTTCAGAAAATGCAAAAAACCGATTTGATTAAACTATAAGCTTTTGGAAAAAAAAATTTCGTGGTTTTCTTTTGTCCCCCAAGTAGACTAACAATTTCCATAAAACATTTTTACATGATACTCTTTCTGGGTTGTAAATAATGACATTTGATGAAAGAGCAATAGTGCCCTTTCTGTAATACATGGGGGAAGGAGCCATAAAGAGTGATAGAATGAAGGCAGAAAATTATTTTAGCCCTTGTTTTTCATCTGAAATGTATGGCAATGATGCATGTCTATAGCGAAAGTTGGAAATTGTACCTCCATTGCAACGTTTCAAAATTTCTGCTCTCTTTTTATTTTATTTTTTTAAAGAGAACTAATAGAGATTTTCCCATGGAATTTTCAGAAAACAATCTTGATGATGTGAAGAAAATTTACACAAAATTTCAATAGAGAATACCTAGGAACAAAAAAAAGAAGACAAAAAAAAACTTAACCAACTGTTCAATACTTTTCCATGTAGAAAAGTAAGCACGACAGAAAGTCCACAACGCCGCAAACCGAGATACGTATTAATTTCTGTAGTCTCACACTCAAAATGCTTGTAACGTAACATTTGATGACGTCATCGCCAGTTTCTGTTTCGACGGTGTTGCTGTCTACTTTGTCTAAAAATATAGGTAGCTTTTCACCGAGTAACAACGTCAAACTGCATGATGTTATTTTGAAACATGAGGATGAAACGAAATCTATGCTGTCAGAAAAAGGAGAGGAAAGAGAGGATCTTTTTTCGAATTGGATTCACTCAAAAGTTAAAACTTGCCGAGCTGAACGCTTCCAAAAATGTTCCTTTAAGCATGTAAATAACAAAAAAGATCTCCACCTCCTTGATAAGGGTTTTACCGGCGGAGTTGACAAGCACCCTTGCAAGAACAAGCAGCCCCCCAGCAACCCTTGTTGACAAGCAGCCGGAGTTGGCTTTTGTCAAGTCTCTCGAGGTTTTCTATAAAATATCACGTCATAATATTTAATTGACCGCATTTTGCAATTTGGAACTAAAAACTCTGGCCCGCTTTAAAAACAACGTATGTGCCATTAGTTTTCCGATGCACAAAAGTGTTTTTTCAGATGAGCCAGAATTTATAGTTCAAAATTGCAAAATGCAGTCCGAATGGAAGGGCGCAATCAGCTAGCAAAAATGTCGACATTTACCGAAAGTTGAAGGGCTTTTCCCGTGCAGACATAGTTGGTCGTATTGAGGGTCTTATGTACGGCTCCAAAGGTGGGACCCAGTTGCTCCTATGCACAGCATGTTGACTCTTTCGAAATGGGCCTGATCTTTGCCTGTTAATGGACAAAAAATTGTTCAGAGTGAAATATTCCTGAAGATTACTGAACGATGTAAAAGGTGGAAGGAAAACTTCTGGCCTTTGTCCCACTTAAAAGAAATACATGTACTTACTTACAAGCATGATATATTTTTAAGATCAAATTAATTAAGAGAGACTTTATCTACTGAAAATTTTGGACAGATTACAACTTGACTAAAATTATTCAAAACTTCTAAATGAAACTTTTAAAACTCCCTCGCACATAAAGTAAATAAAATCGGACCGGTTTCGAAGGCTTTTCTAAATCTTCAGCAAACACCCTGAAGAACTGAAGAGCTGGGTGTTTGCTGACGATGAAGGAAAACCTTCAAAATCGGTCCGTTTTTATTTATTTTATGTGTAAGCGAGTTTTAATAGTTTTTGAGAATTCTTAAATATTTTAGTTTAGTTTTAGTTTAGCATCTTGTCCAGTCCGTTTTACGTTTTTATAGACTACAACTTAACAACTTCGCTGCAACTACTACTTGAGAGAGGACAATATGAGCAAGTCCCAAAAACTTAGCTGAAAACATTGGGTGCGTAGATATTACTGCGCACGCATATGGATAAGAGCCGATGTACACACCTTCCATATTGGACATGTCTTCCTCTTGAATATGCATATGAACCTTGCGGTCTTGATCTCATCGCATATCCTAAACCAGGTGGACGTGTGAAGTTTCTCCACTGTGCTTGAACAAACTCTGCCTCCTAAAATTTCATTTTGTAAAATAAATATAGGATCACGAAAGAGAACAAATGAAGAGAAACAGGGAGGAAAACCAAGAGACAAATTCTTACTTATCATTTCAAGGAGAAAAATGGAGCATCCCCTAAATCTGCACATTTAAAAGAATATGACAGCATGTGAATGAAAATAGTCATATCATGAATCACATCAGTATGCCTATGAAATGACGCTTTGTCAAGTGAAAATGAAAAGAGGCTATTATTTTCATTGGCCTCAAATGTTTTCAAATGTTTTTCAATCTTGCTGATTTCCAAACCTTATTAAATCATCTTCTCAGTATTTATCATGACTTTACCCCAGAATTCGATTTATTTTGAATAATTTGCCACCTTGACAGAACTAATTCCTGAGATACTTTACGGAAATTTTTAAATGTGAAAGCAAAGTTGATTGAAAGCCAACTAAGAAATGATTGCACCGATGAGGAATATTCTTGTTTGAATTGTAAAATGCAACTTCTTAGTTTAAACCATTAATGACGTGCCATTCTATTAAAAAGCGAACTTATAATTCTAAGACTTTACCAAGATTATGAAAGAAAAAATTGTTACAGATTTCAGTAGTTTGTAGATATTCATCGTGTTTTAAGGTTAGGGAAGCAGGACGCGCCACAATCACTTTTAGCACCGTCAGCAATAATATTTTGACTGAGTTTCAGTACAATAAAGAGTCATCTGTTACGTTATCGTAGTGAACAATCTTTTAATTTCTCATTTTTACATAGCATGAAAATTTGATCAGTGTGGTATTTTTGACTCCATGAGTACTCCTTATCTCTTAGGTTCACTCTGTAATCAGATGGTTCGTAGGTGTGCCACGGTTAGGAGATTGTGGAGATTGTATGATAACACCCTCTTTGAAACCGACATATGTTGGTAAAAAACAAAATTGGTGGCATTACGCAAACAATCGGCAACTTTGTAGGAGGCCGGGCTAAGCCTATCTCAATAGTAAACATGTAACGATCTTAAATAGAAGAGGAGATCCAAATGAGGAACTCTTATTAATCTAGCAGCCCGCTTTATGAATTGCCTACCATCAGGAAACCAATTGGATGGAAATACGAGCAGTACTATGTCATCGTTCAATTGACATGAGGACGCATACCTAAATACATTTTGAGATGAGCCTTTCAGTCCGTGCAGCTTTATTTTTTCCAAGGCTCATATTGAGCGATAATTTTTAGTCATGTTTAAAATGTAGGATTTTGCATTTTGCATTTTGCATTATGTATTTTAGCATTAATTGAAAAATGAAAACAACAAGTATACATCTTGATTTATCTCTGTATTTTTCAAAGACACTTGAAAAATTACGTACAGTTATAAAATTGATTTGACAAATTTTACTCGTATCCGTCTCACCGTCCTTAAATATTTTCATTACAGAAAATGTAGTTGGTTAAAAACATATTTGGGCTCATTTCATCATGAAAAACTCTGTTAACGTCAGGTGTCATAACACAAACTGAAGTGTTTAAAAACATGTTTAATCGTTTCAACATTAAATTACGTTACTTTTACCGCGTCTACAAGCCTCCTCGACATTTTTTGAACATCAATTTCTCGCAACAGACAGTATACTTTCACGGTGCATCATAGCGCGTGCAACCCCAAATCAAAGTTTGAAACGCGAAGTCCTAGTGCAAACAGTTTTTGCGAGCGAAAGTTCACAGCGTACATTTGAACAACAATTATTGCACATCGACTTTCTTGTAAAAAAGCAAGTCGAATTTACAACCTTGGAATGGGATTATAAACGCATTTCTTCGACTGCATCATGACGAATGATGATCGGCAGTTGTTCTTGTATTTTAGACAGCACGCTAGCCTTCCGTTTTTTGTACGCGCAGCGCTGATATCCATCGCGCACATGCACAAACGCTGTTACACTGAAAGTCAACGCGCCTTCAATTTTTTGCATATACAACGCGATCAACTGCCAAGCAGTTTTAGTTGTATTAAGGCGCCGTTGACTTGTGTACCTATACTCCTGACAATAACATGTGACGATGTTAACCGTATATCCACGCGGTACTCATACTCTAATTCGGTCAGAGTACACTTAACTCATATAGGGTCGTTCATTCTGGGTATGTACTCTCCGTGACAAGCTACTCCTGACCGAACTGAATCTATCAATGGGAATGGCAAAGAGAGGATTATAAAAATTTAAAGCCTCACATCACATTCCTATTTTATTTAATATTTTTGGCACTGATTTAACAATCTCGGTTCGTTTTCATCCAAATTTCTGATACTGAAATTGGAAGAAAGAAGCCAAAGAGATATTTGTTTTATCATGTAGCAGCATAACTTGTCTGAAACGAGGAGAACGAGTTGATTCACGACTGCAACTGATTGGCTAATGATACCACATTAGCGCTCCACGGGGGTTCGATCCTTTTCTACTAGATCCATGAGTACCATCTCACATCTGAGAGGATTCTTGAAGGGTCTTTAATCTTCTTTTTCTGAAAGGAGTCCATCCGTTGAGATATTTGTGGGGAAATTACGTAGATTAACGTAAGTCAATAAGTATGATTACCTACGTAGATTAAGAAGATCTTAAAATAGATTTTGTCTTTTTATTAAAAGTCATATGCTGCAGAGGATACGCACATTTGATAGGGTAATCTTCCTGTTACATCTTTTTAGTCCGATGCTAGCCAGTACCCTTTGAACACAGGCCCTCAGCTAAGAAGAGAATGATTGAGACATAGTTCAACCATTTTTCATTACCTAAAAAAGAGCGGAATTATGTCACTAAAGTGATAAATCTTAAAGCAAATTAAATATATGACAATGAACACTTTTGGTCGTGGTGAATGATGATCTCAAATCAGGCAAAGTTTATTGAAATCGCGCAATGAACAAATTATGTGAAGTAAATTCATGAAAAAATTCATAAAAATGAACATTCTGTAAAAATGAACTTTTGTATGAGTTTATTTAATGGTTTATTCATGGCAAAGAGGAAGTGTTTGTATATAAGGGTTCATCGTGTATGGTTCCTTTGTTTTTGGTCAAGCCACGAGGCTAAAAGTTTTCTTACGATCTGATCAATGAACTTCCAAAACTGACCAGGTATTTTCAGCGCAGCTATTTATCACCTAACTCAACCTTTTTGAAAATGAGATAAATTTACTCCAACTTTAAATATTTCATGAAAAGTCACGAATAAAATGTGACAAATTGAGTTGATAAACGAAATTGAAAAATGCGTTGACTGTATAATTACTTACTTTTCCTTAGGCCACAAGAGACGGCTAATCATGAGCGATGCAGCGCGCGAAACCCTAGATTCTGGCTTGTAAGGACCAATTCGAGGTGACAGCCTAGGACACAATGCAAGACGGTTCAATAAAAAGTCTAGAATAGCAAATCGATCTTAAAACTAGATAATGTGGCCTTAAAATACTGTATAGTTCAGAGGAGATACTAAGATTGTAGTTGTGTTATTTCATGCATGGCCAATTTAAAAATTATGTTTCTAAGAAATGTTTAACGAGTCATCGTGATTTTTTCGAGAGTTTTTCGTCCACCTCAGATTTGCAGCGATGATTCCCTGATTTACGGGGAAGCTAGACAAATATAGTGTGCTGTTCTGTTTTGTTTTTAATCAAGTTTATTTGCTTTTTGTATGTATAAGCGCCGCTTTCATAGCGCTCTCTGGAGCTCTGCGACACCCAGCCGCCAATAAGTCCCCCAATCCTCCGAAAGCTCTTTAGGGAGTTAGCACTCTCTTGTTCCAAAAAATTCCATTTTCTACTGGAAGAAGTTTGCTTTTAAGCTGAGAAAAATGAAACTTTCTCTCCGGGATGACTCTTTTGAAGGTTAATTTGCACAAAAATATACATTTATACATGTACTTGTAGTATAGTGTGTTCGGGTCTCTTGCCTTGGTCTTGTTTGTGGTCGTTCCGTCTGATTATCTTTTTGCGCGGAAGAAAAACTTTCTCGTCCCGATGAAAACCCATCCCGTCCAGTAGAAAACCTTCCTCGTCCGGGTGAAACCTCATCTCGTCTGGATGAATATCCCTCTCGTTCAGATGAAGGCCCTCTTCGTCCGGATGAAAATCCTTCTCGTCCGGATGAAAACCTTTCTCGTCCGGGTGAAAACCCCTCTCGTCTGGATGAAAATCCCTTTCGTTCAGATGAAGGCCCTCCTCGACTGGATGAAAACCCTTTTCGGTCGGATGAAAATCCGTCCCGTCTTGTTGCATAGTCCCTCCTCCGTCCTTCTCCTTTGTAAGAATCTGGATGATTCTGATGTCTTCTGAATGATCTGTCTTTCATCCTGGTTAGAAAAAACGAAAGATTTTAGAGTGTTACATGGTATCTGTTTGTCTCATACACGACCCTAAGAATTAGATACCAGATATTTCATTATATTTAGATATGGAGGCTCTGCTGCTGTTTTTGTATTTTCCCCAAACGAGACCACTGTCTGGCCGCCTCCTCTTATCTTAGGAAAAAAGGAGCGAATGAAGAAAAATTGACGGAAAACTCTTCGTTAGTATTATAAAGATCTCCAGTTATGCGGGTTCTAGAGACTGATTTTTTCCCCTTTTAAATGTTTGCAACTACCGCAAAGTGAAGGTCTTTTCCCGTTCAGAAATGGACGATCGTATAGAGGGTCGTATGTAATGCTCCATAGCGACGGTGCAAGTCGGCAATCACATAACTCGGTTTGCGACGTCGCAGACTTCCTGTCATACTTTTTTTTTTTAAATGGAAAACTACTCAACGGCAAATTTTTAAAACTGCCGTGATTTTTCTTCTCTGTGCGAAGAAAATTCTGCATAAACTTCAGTGAATGATGTCAATTTGTTCTCCTTTAAAAAAATAACGTAGATGCGGAGATTTTCAAACACCGCAAACGAGATATGTGATTGCGGACTTACGCCACGCCGTCAATAGGTAGGACCAACTGGTTCCTCTCCTCATACTGTTTTGACTTCGTGCGAAGATGGAGCTGGTCTTTGCTTTTTAATGTAAAAAAAAAAAAAATGTTTCACATAAAAGTGAAATATTCTTGCAGATTATGGAATGAGAGACAAAAGGAGAGGAAACTTTCTGGATGTAACTCACCTTCAATAACTAACAGTAAGGTCTTACTTACATTCATTGTTTAATGGTTTTAAGATAAACTGAATGAAGAGAGATCAAATCTCGCAATTTTGGACGGATTACTTAATACTTTGCTGCAATCGCTATGTGAAAGGGAAATATGACCATAATTTACACACCTTCCATATTGAATATTTTCTCCTCTTGAAAATGAACCTTGCTGTTTTGATTTCATTGGGTATCCTGGACCTCGTGGATTAGTGAAGTTTCTCGATTGTGCTCGAACAATCTTTGTCTCCTGAAAAATAATTTTGAAAATTGTTGTAGTAGTACGAAATAAATCAGAGAGAGAAGGAGAGAAGCAGAACGAAAAACAAGCAGTGAACTCCAACACAATGTGTTGATAAGGCGCGTCATTAACTCGCACATATCAACCCCTTCAGTTTTCATTTACAGAGATTTCAAAACAGGCAAACAGCACAACAAGAGAATTCACGATCCAACACTGCGAGGTCAAAGACGCACCTTGACGAGACCGTGTATTGTGAATGTAGAAAGCTATTCGATCGAATTTAAGTTTTTTGATCTGCCTCAAGCAAAATCT